AATAAATAAAACATAATAAATTGTGATGAATTACAATCACAATTAACCATGATTAATTGCAGCTACTTTGTCATTAATCAAATTCCGTTTTTTATTGGTTCGACAGCTCTTTATAAAAACATTAGCTGACGAATGAAAACATTTTTGTAGTAATGCAAAACAGCAGATGTGCACGTGTGAGCAGCTGTGGTGCGTGGACCTCTCCGTGCACGTGTTACGATGAGACGCAGGTCAGTTGTTGTTTTAGGCAGAACAGACACAAAACAATGTGGCGTCGTCGTTAGTGTGGTACGAGTTTTGTGCAACTTTATACAGTGTAGAAATTTCAAAAACTGAAAAAAAAAGTACCAGCATCCAGAATGCAAATGTTGCGTCCGTGGGGAAACTCCCCGTTGGTCGTGTCTCTCCTTCCGTCCTGTCTCTGTCTCTCNCACGTTGACCTTCTCCACGCTGCTTTTTTGTCATTTTCAGCTCCAACTTTTGGCTGTGAAATCTTTCTCTCTCCCTCTCCCTCTCCCTCTCTGTCCCTCTCCCTCTCTCTCCCGTAGCACATCCATCTCGTCGTGCCCTCTGCCCTCCGGCGTGTTCCGTTAATTACTTCTGCGGTGCGTTCACTGTACGACTGGATGGTGGCGCTGCGTGGTCTTTGTCTTTGTGCCACCTTCGTCTTCGGCGTTTTTTCCTCTTTGCTCCCGATGTGTTGAAGTTGAAGAGAGCTGAGTTTTTTTTTTGTTGTTGTTTTGAGCTGAGAAATCGTCAGGAGATAATGTTTGATGAATGGCCCAAAAATATTGGCTTTTTTTTTTTTTTTTTTAATAATAACTCCACACGGCTTTAACTGATGGTTGAAGTTTAGCAAATATTTCTGAGGCAGATTAGTTCCAGACGTGGGTGAGGTTCTTATTAGGGGCCGGGGGATCACGCACACACACACACGGTACCATACCCAGAATACTAACAAGTAAAAGTAGGTTTGAGTTTGGTGTACCATTATGCAGCAATCGTGTTTTTTTTCCTGTAACTGTCGGGGGAGGTTGAGTGCCCCTGGAGGAGGTCTGTGGTATTACCCTGCTGAAAATTTCAGGAGGCTGAGTTCACGTTGGTGTGGAAAAAACATACCCACGAAAAGTTAATGTATTAATATTTAGAACTGCTGGAGCATCTATCGTGTGGTAACGCCTGAGTTTAACAATAACACATTTACAGCTCATTAAACCATCCCAAGAAAGTGGGGTTTTTTTTGTTTGTTTTTTTTTACAAGCAACAAAATGAGTTCACAACCGTAACATTAATGAGAAGCGAGGAGTTTGTTAACTCTCTCACCAGCGCTGAACCGACACTGAATCACTTTTAATAAGACGTTGATTTTTCCACAAAATGATCTCGATGTCAAAGAGGTGAAAACAACAAAACTGTTGTTTTCTTTTGTTTGTTTTTTTTTTCTTATTTCTTGCGTCCAGACACAGAGACACAGAACTCTGCACTGATGTTTTATCATGTAAATGTTGATGTAAATCCAAACACTGCTACAGTAGTAACACCTCAGGCCACTCTGTTGGAAACTACTGGAGGCCTGCAGCAGCTCCTTCTAAATACCCCTACC